ATATATATATATATATATAAAATTATATTTTAAATTCTGACAAAATCATTAGAGTCTGTTGGCTTTCAGCTGGTGTGATCTGTAAGTGTAATGGCTATCATTTGCAAACACTGTGAATCTGATCTTAATTAAGGTTCACAGTTGAAATAACTCCTGCATGATGTTCACTTTGCCTGTCATGAGTATCACAGCCTGTTATATACATTATGGTAGATGTGATTCTATAAATTTGTTAATTATGAAATGTCACTACAGTCTAGCCTTAACTCTTTCAGCACAGACTTTGTCCATGGGACAGGCCTTGTAACCATTTTGTGCTTGTTATAGTTTTCATGCTATGTCTTAAATTAGTAAGCAAATGTCATAATTTGGCAGATTATCAGTGAACATTACAATGTTGTCATATGAAAAATATTAAATTTTCTTATTAAGTCTTAAGGTTTGTAAAGCAATGTTTTTCTCATGCCCTTTTTTCTTTTCACATGTTGCCTATTTATCATGCAGAGCAATTTTCATTTTAAGATAAAAAATACTTTTGGGCATCAGAAAATTTTTGAATCTCGCATGCGAAATCTTTAATGTCCAGATATCAAACGTTTTTAAGAAAAACTTTATATTTTATCTTTTATTTTCAGTAATTAATATCTGTATGGGTTTGGTACATTTGACTGATCTCGCAACTCCCATGAAAAATTAGGAAATAAATATAAATTATGGCTCTTACGTTCTAGAATGAACACAAAAACATAAATGTTTACACTAAATAGCTTAAATCTCATAACATTATACATTTATATATATGTATATAATTTTTATTATATTGACCTTTCAGCTGTGCCTGAATAACAATACACAAGTTACAATGATGCAGCACACGTGCACTCATGTTACCGTTTCAAATAACATAAAACTGACCTTTGGTCTGTAGAAAGTAACTTGTCTTGTCTGTATTTTAGTAGACCAGTATTTTGTACAATATAGTTGCATTTCAAATATTATACATTATATATATATATATATATATAGATAGATAGATAGATAGATCATTGCTATTTTGAAATAAGTTCT